TCCTTCAGAATATATTATTTAAAAATCCACGATTATAGCTCTGCTGATCCTTCAAAATACTTTCTTTAAAAATCCACAATTACAGATCTGAATGTACATCAGAAAAAACTTCCCGATTATAGTCCTGTTAGTCCTTTAGAAAATATTTTTAAAAATCCACGATTTTAGACTTGTCAGACCTTTCTAAAATATTATTTAAAAATACACTGTTTGCAATCGTCATCGTCTTAAAAAAGTTTGTCGTTTAGAAAATATTCTTAAAAAAGTCCACAATTTTAGTCCTGTTGATCCTTTGGCCTGTTTGGCCCTTGAGGAATATTTTTTAAAATTCCACGATGTTTGGTCTGCCGTTTCATAAAAAGATAGTCCTTAAAAATTCCATGAATATATGTCTGTTGATCCTTCAGAAAATATTCTTTAAAGTTCATGATTATACCTACGATTTTAGTCATTTGGTCCTTCAGAAGATATTATTTTAAAATTCACGATTATAGCTTTGAAGGTCCTTCAGAATATAGTCTTTAAAAATCCAGAATTACAGATTTGAATGTTCTTTAGAAAAAAATTGCGAATTATAGTCCTGTTAGTCCTTTGAAAAATATTTTTAAAAGTCCACGATTATAGCCTTGTTAGTCCTTCATAAAATGTTACTGAAAAGGCCACAGTGAGTCCATCGGCATTGCCTCAAAAATCTTCGATTATGGTCCCCTTAGTCTTTTAGAAAATATTATTACAAAAACCCACAATTGTAGTCCTGTTAGTCCTTCAGAAAATATAAAAAACTTAGTCTTTCAGAACAGATTCCTACAAAATCAACGATTATAGTCCTGTCAGTCCTTGAAAAAAGTATTCAAAAAAAATATATATTTTTCTGGTGTGGCTCCCCTTTAGATTTTTATTTTGAAAATAAAAAAGAAACAAAATTTGAAATTATTTCATTTCATTCACGCCTCCTCCTCCGTGTGGGATTCGACACGATACTTCAGTACTTCCTCTTCGTTGTGCAGTACCGTAGCAACGACACGATAGAAACCAGGACGTAAATAATTTTGAAATTTCGATGAATCCAATGGATAATCTTTGACTTCGTATTTCTCCTTGGTCACGGGGCATACATCCGGATCGGGAGCATTACAATGTTCCTTGAGACTTTCGTAAAAGAATTTCTTATAATGTGTTTGCATTACTTCGCATATACCCTTTTGTGGGGTGCTCAACACTGTCTTGTATTCACCATCCTGTTCGTCTGAATGGGAGATATCAAAGGTTATCTAAAAATGGAGTGGCAATAAAATATGTCGTTTATTGAGATAGTACTGTGGACTCAAGGATCTTTCGTGTTCTGGAAGTGAATACGAAAGCAACCCACCATTCCATTAATTTGGAATGACATTTTTTTTTACGGATTCACTTTTTTCTCCTCATATTGCTTCTTAGTAAGGAGTTTAATATTTTCGAAAAAATTATATGGATTTTTCCATTGCTGTGTCTCGTTCGGACTCTGTAGATATTTATCTATTGCCTTGCCCATTCCACTCACCTTATAATTATCATCGAAATCCACCAGCTGGTCAACAACACCATTAATTTTCACCTCATCATCTCCCTCGGCCTTTTCAAATTTCAACTCGGTTTTTACCAAATGCTCAGCATCGATTTCCTTTTCCAATTTATCCAAAACTATTTTCAATTTCTTTTTCTCACCATCGGCCTGTATCGGTGCCACAAAGACCTGCAGTAACCAGATACCCAAGAAAAGATGAAATTTGGATACCATTTTATGTCAAACAAAGGCTTACTACCAACGAGTAACGAGAGAAATTGAATTCAATAGCGTTTTTATAGTTTAGATGAGGTTGTTAGAAAGCTGTTCAGCTTATCTGATTGCATTCTAACAACAAACGGAAATGTTTTCAAGTAGCGACATTGTTTTCGATTTTTCATAAATAATATTGTTGTAAATTATTTAAACGTGGGTTGGATGAAACCAAATGTAAAGCCCCAGATCGCTTAAAGCCTTGATAAGGTGTCGTAATTGGAGCGTTGTTTTTGATAATGTTTAGGCAGATTATGACTTTCATAGCTAAAAATAGAAGACACTTGTATTGGCGTTTTTGAAACTATACATCGCAAAGTAATCTAAAAAGCGGAGCAAGTTTCCTCCTTCACACTTCTGGAAAATTTCGTATTAAGATTCCTTTTCTTGGTATGGTTGCTGTATCTGTTTTTTGAAAAAAATACTAAGTTTGCTTTTTCTATAAACTCTTCACTTATGATTTTCAATCCACCATATTAGCCCGGTTAGGCTTTCAGAATTATTCATAAGAATACACTTTTATATTGTTTTCGACACTTGAAAAAATATTCTTAATTTATATTTTATATTTATTTATTTTTTTATATATATATAAAGCTGGCTCTCCACGACAGTCTTTTACACAACATTGTGGGTTTTCAAGAAGAGAATCTGAAAAACTCAACAGGATATAGATAACTTCATGTGTTGCCTCCACAAGATTTTTAAAAAAAATTCAACGATTCTGAAAAAGACTAACACTTCAGAAAATATTCTTAAAAATGTTGTCAATAGCAAAAAAATTGAATATCGCTATATGAGGCTTACTCCAAAATGAGAAACGATATAACAAAGGTTAATAAGCCAATTTTTTAACTATGAGAACCCAAGTTTAAAAAATATTTTTCAAAGGATAACAGACCTGTAATCAAGGATCAACCGGATTATAGTAGTGATATTTTATTTTAAATAATATTATTTTAACGATCAGCAGACTAAGGGTTTGTTAAGAGGATTTTAAGGAACAATAAACAAATAATCAAGGGTTTTTAAAAAAATATATTTTTTAAGGATCAACATACCAATAATTCGAAGGACCATTCGAAGAACCAATAAACAGATAAATGCATAACAGGACTATAATCAGAAATTTTTAAAGAATATTTTCTGAAGGACGATCAGGAAAATAATATTAATGGTGTTTTCAGAATATTTTCTGAAGGACAAGCATTACTGAAATCGTGGTTTTCTTAGAATATTTTTTCAAGGACCAATGGATAATCGAGGATATTTAAAGAATATTATCAGGATTTCTAAAGAATATTTTCTGAAGGCACGACAGACGAATAACTGTGAATTTTTAAAAAATATTTTTTCAAGGACCAATGGACCGATAATAAAGGATATTTAAAGAATATTTTCAGAAGGACCCAGATATCCATAATCGTTGATTTTTAAGGAATATTTTCTGAAGGCACGACAGACGAATAACCGTGGATTTTTAAAGAGTATTTTTTCTAGAACCAACAGGCTAATAATCATGGATTTTTAAAGAATACTTTTAAGTGTTAGCGGACCAATAATCCTGGATTTTTAAAGAATATTTTGTAAAGGACCAATGCATTGATAATCGTGGATATTTAAAGAATATTTTCTGAAAGATCAATAGACCCATGATCGGGGATTTTTTAAAGAATATTTTTTTAAGGACCAACGGACAAAAATTCCTGAATTTTTTAAAAATATATTCTGAAGGACTAACATGATTTCAATCGGGAATTTTTAAGAATATTTTTGAAGGATCAACAGAGCAAAAAATCGTTGATTTTTAACGAAGGACCAAGAGATATGTTATCGTGGATTTTTTAAAAAATATTTTCTCAAAGTCCGACGGAACAATAATTGTAAACTTTTTAAAGAATATTTTTCAAGAATCAACAGACTGATAATCGTGGATTTGTAAAGTGTACATTTTAAGGACCAACAGACAAATAATCGTGGCCGTTATACTTAAATGTACTATATACTTCAAATGCACGGATTCTGAGGAATCTTAATATGAAAATTTCCAAAAGTGTGGTTTATTTTCGATGCAAACTTTCAAAACGCCCATACCCGTGTCTTTTTTTTATACACTACACGGCATAGTGGTAAGGGTATTATGTCTTTGTGCATTTGTTTGTAACATGAAGAAGGAAGCGAGATAGACCCATAATTACTTTTGAGAATCTTCAAAGAATCACTTTCTGAGTCGATTTATGCACGCCAGACCGTCTGTCCATGTATTTTTGTGAGTAAAATGCAGGCCGATACTTCAGAAAATATTCATAGTGAATTAACTTTTATACCTTCATGGGTCCTTCACGATTAAAACTCCCCTGGCTCTCCACGATATTATTTTACAAAATATTGTTGGTCTTCTCGAAGACATTCTGAAAAACTAAACAGTTATAGATAATGTCCTGTGTTTGCCCTTAAAAAATATAAGAAATATTAACGATTCTGAAAAAATCGGTAGTGGCACTTCAGAAAATATTCTTCAGAAAATATTCTTAAAAATGTTAACCATAGCAAAACTATTGTGAGAACACCTTCACGTCTTCTGTGAAAAGACCTTCACGTCTTCTATGAGAAGACCTTCACGTCTTCTATGAGAAGACCTTCACGTCTTCTATGAGAAGACCTTCACGTCTTCTATGAGAAGACCTTCGCGTCTTCTAAGAGAAGACCTTCGCGTCTTCTAAGAGAAGACCTTCACGTCTTCTAAGAGAAGACCTTCACGTCTTTTATGAGAAGACCTCCAAGTCTTCTGTGAGAGGACCTTTACGTCTTCTGTGAGAAGACCTTCACGTCTTCTGTCAGAAGTCCTTCACATCTTCTGTGAGAACACCTTCACGTCTTCTGTGAAAAGACCTTCACGTCGTCTGTGAAAAGAACTTTACGTCATATGTGAAAAGACCTTCACGTCTGTGGAGGATATATCTGTACATCCTCGGGGTCTCATTGGACAGTATGTTCAAATAGTCCACACATGCCACAGCTATCTGCGATAAATTGAAAAGTAGGAAAAAGATCCCAAGGTGCTAGCCTTCAGGACTTGGGACCTGTTGACCTCATATAACACGATATATCGAACTGTGTGGAGATGCCTAGTGGTGTAGGGTATCATATAGTCGGCCCCGCCCGACTTTTGACTTTTCCTTATTCGTCCTATTTTTTGAATTCCATATTTAATGCAAAGCTCTCTCCTCCTTTTCAGGCCACCACACTAAATGTAGCTGTCAATTCGAACAACAAGGGCCTCCTGACCATTATGATATCCAACAATTTCGTAGAGCTGAAAGGTTCCGTATTCAAGAAATTCGATAAGAACAACCTCTTCCAGTTGACATGCAGTGATGTGCGCGAACGTTTCCATCTCTCCGTCCTGCTGTTCATTGTTATGATACAAACAATGAAAGAATTCGATTGGAGTATAACACAATTCTGTGTAATGTTACCCGATTGTTTTTCAGTTTTAATTACCGAAATTCTTATCGATTGGATCAAGCATGCTTTCATTACGAGATTTAATGAGTTACCAGAATGCATTTATCGCGAGTATACCACTAGCTTGGCATATGATATGACACAGACAAGGCAGAAGCATGCATTTTCCGATCACTCAGATTTGGTGGCACGGCGTATGGGTTTTATACCATTCCCGCTGGCAGTGGTATTGATTAAGGCCATCTATTCGGCGGTGTCATTTAATAATTTGGCGGCATGGATATTATTTTCGTTGGCTTATCTATTTGCCTTGGGTATGAGAATTGCTTTGACAATTTGTGCCTTGGGTAAGGCATGTAAATTGATGAAAGAACATCAGGATGAGAAATGTAATACATCGACACCGAGTTCCATGACAAATGTGCCACCAGTGGGCGCCACAACGAAGCCGGGGTCGGCAAGTTTGGTGGGCTCATCGGTTTTGGCATCATCTTCACCAATTCTAAATCGTCATCGTACAGATGTGGCCACATCCCCCACACATCCTTCTTCACATAGTAGTGTTGCGGGTTCGGGCGGTGGAGGAAGTGTTAGTGCCGGAGTAGCTGGAAGTGGAAATAATTCTGGAAGTAGCTTTAATTTCCCCTTACAAAGATCCATTACGACTGATTTATCATCCACGATGTCTTCAACAACGTCCACGCCAAAACAGAGTCACAATAAAAACAATAATTCCAATAACAATACAACGGCCTGTAACAGTGCTCCAAGTGTCTTAAACAAAGCAACCGCCATCACCACATCACCCACCTCCAAGGGTGCAATAATTAACATTACCCACAATGATATTGAGTTAGATGTGAAAAGTTCATTGGAATTGGGTGCAACAGCTTTATTTTCCAACAGTGATGTGGATTTAGATGATGTTTGCTTGAATGAACATGTCCTGGACACAAATACATCAACTACAACTGGTTTTGTAGAAGAGGCTTTGGCACGCAGTGAACCTGATCTGCAGATCAGTCAATCGTCAAGTGTTAATACTACACCCACGTCGAGTATTACCACAACAAAGGTGACAGCAACCCAACAAATTCGAAGGCGTACCCATAAACGTTCGGAATCCGAGCCAAGTATGCAGAGCATAGTTGGTTCCTCAGATTCCAGTGAATCATCGTCGACACATCAGGCGTAGTTGTGATGATGATAATCACGATGATGAGGTTCTATGTGTGAAAAAAGACAAGTATTGCATGAATGTTGGAAAAAAGACAAACTACCTTTGTACAAGCGGTAGCCTTTGCTCATCTTGGGACTTAGTGTTAAATTATATAAAACTGTGTTTTTTTATTCAATACAATGTTTCTTATCGTATATTTTTGTTTACAAAATATAAGTTATATTTTTTGTTGAAATTCTTTGATTTTAAAATTGATCTACGAAGAAATGTGCCTTTTTTATTTGGTTCACCAATTTTAAGCTTTGTGGGAAGAGAATTGGTCACACGAATTTACACCTTATATAAGTAACAACTGTGCGAACTTGTAAAGTTTGCTTTTCTTATTTCTCTTACAAAATCTTTTGTTCCTTCGTTATGTTATTATCTTTGTTGTTTAGCTTTATATAAACAAATTAAGCTCAAATTTATCATAATAATTGCCTGGCCTTACAAAAAATACCTTGATTGCAATTAAATAGAAATAAATAATTAACGTAAAATATAATAAAAAATAATAAAACGTAAAATAAAAAATATATATTATAAAAACTTATTCCGTTAATGGTATAGCATGTTGGCAGAACATTTTCGGAAGGATCGTCGAAACTACAATCTTGTAATTTCTAAAGAACACATAGAGCCACAATAGGCATTTTTTTAAGCATATCTTCTGAAGGACTAATAGGTAATAATCTTAGATTTTTAGTAAATACATATCAATATTTATAATTGTTTTCATACTTTCAGAAGGACCTGGATGTCTGTACACAATCGTGGATTACTGAATAACCGGGGAATTTATTTTTTTTTTTTAATTTTTGTTAGGTACCAGAAGAAATGGTCTGATTTCTACAATCTTTATAAGAGACCTTGTGTTGATGGAAATATTGAGATGTGCCAAGTCTGAATGGAATCGGATGTTAATTTCGCGTTTTATGAGCTCCATGGATATTCAAAATTTTGACCCTTTGTGGGGGAGGTACCAGAAGGAGAAGACCGATATATCCCATCTTCACAACAGATCTTGTGTTAGTAGAAATAATGGAATGTGTGAAATATAACGAGAACTTGACGCTTATTTCGGATTTTATAAACGTTTTGGTTATTCAAAACTTTGACCCTTTGTGGGGGAGGTACCAGAAGGAATCTTCCGATCTCTTCCGCTTTTATAACAGATCCTGTGTTGATAGAAATATTCAGATGTCTTCAAATTTCACACATCCCAATAATTTTATTAACCCAAGGTCTAGTGTGAAGATGGAATATATCGGTCCACTTCTTCTGGTAACTCTCCCACAAAGTGTCAAAGTTTAGAATATTCATTAGGCTCATAAAACACTAAAGTAACATCCGATTCCATTCAAACTTGGTACATCTCAATATTTCCATTGACACAATATCTGTTATAAAGATGGTACAGATCGGGCCATTTCTTCTGGTACCTCCCCCGCTTAGGGTCCAAGATTAAAAAAAACAAAACGCTCATGAAACTCGAAATAAGCATCCAACTCTCTTCAAATTTCAAACATCCAAATATTTTTGCTAACGCAAAATCTGTTGTGGAGATGATTGATATCTTCCAACCCCTTCAGGTACCTCACACACAAAGGGTCACAATTTTCAATATTTTTTTGAGGTCATATCTTACGAAACAAGTTAGCGATTCCTCAAAACTTGCTATTTCTAAATATTTCTCTCAACCAAACCAGCATTTATGATTTCGCATCAACGAGTCTTGCAAAAAATATTTTTTAAAAATCTACGATTGGGGGTCTTGATTTTTTTAAATCCACGATTGAGGTCCTTAAAAATCGAATCTGATGGCTCTTTAAAAAATATTTCTTAAAATCCGCAATTGGAGCTCTGATGACTCTCTCCACGATTATTGAGAATCTTGAAACGATTTTGGTCTGTTGGTCCTTTAAAATATTCTATGAACATTACACGATTATAGATCTGTTAATCCTTGAAAAACATTCTTTAAAAATCCACTATTATTGACCTTGAAAAATTGTTGGTTCTCAAAATAAAAAAAAATAATAAAATCACGAAGTTTTTTTTGTTTGTCCTTGAAAAAAAAAATCTTAAAAAATCTATTGGCCCTTCAAATAAAAAAAATAATTAAAAAGGAGCGCAATTTTTGGTCTCTTGTTCCTTCAAAAATATTCTTTAAAAAAATCATGATTATTGGTGTGTTAGTCCTTGAAGGAACATTTTTAAACAATTAACGGCTATTGGTCTGGTTGTCCTTGAAAAAAAATCTTAAAAAATCAATGATTACTTTTCTGTTGGTCCTTATTTTTTTTAAATGACCTCGAAAATATATTTTTGAAAAATTCACGATTGTTCCTTAAAAAATATCCTTTAAAATCCACGATGTTTGGTCTGTCGATCGTTAAAATTCATGATTATATCCATGATTTTAGTCTTGTGGTCCTTCAGAAAATATTCTTTAAAAAACCACGATCAAAGCTCTGCTGATTCTTCAAAAGATATTCTTTAATGATCGACAACTACTGTCCTGATGGTCCTTCAGAAAAACTTTCCCGATTATAGTCCTGTTAGTACTTTAAAAAATGTTTTTAAAAATCCACGATTATAGTTCTTCATAAAATATTATTTACAAATACATCGCCCACCATCGTCATCGTCTTTAAAAAATTAGCCCTTTAGAAAATATTCCTAAAAAGGTCCACAATTATAGTTCTGCTAATCCTTTGGCCTGTTTGTCCCTTGAAGAATATTTTTTAAAAATCCACGAAGGTCCATGAATATAGGTCTGTTGATCCTTCAGAAAATATTCTTTAAAGTCCATGATTATACCTACGATTTTAATCTATTTGGTCCAGAAGAGATTCTTTAAAATTTCACGATTATAGCTTTGAAGGTCCTTCAGAATATATTATTTAAAAATCCACGATTATAGCTCTGCTGATCCTTCAAAATACTTTCTTTAAAAATCCACAATTACAGATCTGAATGTACATCAGAAAAAACTTCCCGATTATAGTCCTGTTAGTCCTTTAGAAAATATTTTTAAAAATCCACGATTTTAGACTTGTCAGACCTTTCTAAAATATTATTTAAAAATACACTGTTTGCAATCGTCATCGTCTTAAAAAAGTTTGTCGTTTAGAAAATATTCTTAAAAAAGTCCACAATTTTAGTCCTGTTGATCCTTTGGCCTGTTTGGCCCTTGAGGAATATTTTTTAAAATTCCACGATGTTTGGTCTGCCGTTTCATAAAAAGATAGTCCTTAAAAATTCCATGAATATATGTCTGTTGATCCTTCAGAAAATATTCTTTAAAGTTCATGATTATACCTACGATTTTAGTCATTTGGTCCTTCAGAAGATATTATTTTAAAATTCACGATTATAGCTTTGAAGGTCCTTCAGAATATAGTCTTTAAAAATCCAGAATTACAGATTTGAATGTTCTTTAGAAAAAAATTGCGAATTATAGTCCTGTTAGTCCTTTGAAAAATATTTTTAAAAGTCCACGATTATAGCCTTGTTAGTCCTTCATAAAATGTTACTGAAAAGGCCACAGTGAGTCCATCGGCATTGCCTCAAAAATCTTCGATTATGGTCCCCTTAGTCTTTTAGAAAATATTATTACAAAAACCCACAATTGTAGTCCTGTTAGTCCTTCAGAAAATATAAAAAACTTAGTCTTTCAGAACAGATTCCTACAAAATCAACGATTATAGTCCTGTCAGTCCTTGAAAAAAGTATTCAAAAAAAATATATATTTTTCTGGTGTGGCTCCCCTTTAGATTTTTATTTTGAAAATAAAAAAAGAAACAAAATTTGAAATTATTTCATTTCATTCACGCCTCCTCCTCCGTGTGGGATTCGACACGATACTTCAGTACTTCCTCTTCGTTGTGCAGTACCGTAGCAACGACACGATAGAAACCAGGACGTAAATAATTTTGAAATTTCGATGAATCCAATGGATAATCTTTGACTTCGTATTTCTCCTTGGTCACGGGGCATACATCCGGATCGGGAGCATTACAATGTTCCTTGAGACTTTCGTAAAAGAATTTCTTATAATGTGTTTGCATTACTTCGCATATACCCTTTTGTGGGGTGCTCAACACTGTCTTGTATTCACCATCCTGTTCGTCTGAATGGGAGATATCAAAGGTTATCTAAAAATGGAGTGGCAATAAAATATGTCGTTTATTGAGATAGTACTGTGGACTCAAGGATCTTTCGTGTTCTGGAAGTGAATACGAAAGCAACCCACCATTCCATTAATTTGGAATGACATTTTTTTTTACGGATTCACTTTTTTCTCCTCATATTGCTTCTTAGTAAGGAGTTTAATATTTTCGAAAAAATTATATGGATTTTTCCATTGCTGTGTCTCGTTCGGACTCTGTAGATATTTATCTATTGCCTTGCCCATTCCACTCACCTTATAATTATCATCGAAATCCACCAGCTGGTCAACAACACCATTAATTTTCACCTCATCATCTCCCTCGGCCTTTTCAAATTTCAACTCGGTTTTTACCAAATGCTCAGCATCGATTTCCTTTTCCAATTTATCCAAAACTATTTTCAATTTCTTTTTCTCACCATCGGCCTGTATCGGTGCCACAAAGACCTGCAGTAACCAGATACCCAAGAAAAGATGAAATTTGGATACCATTTTATGTCAAACAAAGGCTTACTACCAACGAGTAACGAGAGAAATTGAATTCAATAGCGTTTTTATAGTTTAGATGAGGTTGTTAGAAAGCTGTTCAGCTTATCTGATTGCATTCTAACAACAAACGGAAATGTTTTCAAGTAGCGACATTGTTTTCGATTTTTCATAAATAATATTGTTGTAAATTATTTAAACGTGGGTTGGATGAAACCAAATGTAAAGCCCCAGATCGCTTAAAGCCTTGATAAGGTGTCGTAATTGGAGCGTTGTTTTTGATAATGTTTAGGCAGATTATGACTTTCATAGCTAAAAATAGAAGACACTTGTATTGGCGTTTTTGAAACTATACATCGCAAAGTAATCTAAAAAGCGGAGCAAGTTTCCTCCTTCACACTTCTGGAAAATTTCGTATTAAGATTCCTTTTCTTGGTATGGTTGCTGTATCTGTTTTTTGAAAAAAATACTAAGTTTGCTTTTTCTATAAACTCTTCACTTATGATTTTCAATCCACCATATTAGCCCGGTTAGGCTTTCAGAATTATTCATAAGAATACACTTTTATATTGTTTTCGACACTTGAAAAAATATTCTTAATTTATATTTTATATTTATTTATTTTTTTATATATATATAAAGCTGGCTCTCCACGACAGTCTTTTACACAACATTGTGGGTTTTCAAGAAGAGAATCTGAAAAACTCAACAGGATATAGATAACTTCATGTGTTGCCTCCACAAGATTTTTAAAAAAAATTCAACGATTCTGAAAAAGACTAACACTTCAGAAAATATTCTTAAAAATGTTGTCAATAGCAAAAAAATTGAATATCGCTATATGAGGCTTACTCCAAAATGAGAAACGATATAACAAAGGTTAATAAGCCAATTTTTTAACTATGAGAACCCAAGTTTAAAAAATATTTTTCAAAGGATAACAGACCTGTAATCAAGGATCAACCGGATTATAGTAGTGATATTTTATTTTAAATAATATTATTTTAACGATCAGCAGACTAAGGGTTTGTTAAGAGGATTTTAAGGAACAATAAACAAATAATCAAGGGTTTTTAAAAAAATATATTTTTTAAGGATCAACATACCAATAATTCGAAGGACCATTCGAAGAACCAATAAACAGATAAATGCATAACAGGACTATAATCAGAAATTTTTAAAGAATATTTTCTGAAGGACGATCAGGAAAATAATATTAATGGTGTTTTCAGAATATTTTCTGAAGGACAAGCATTACTGAAATCGTGGTTTTCTTAGAATATTTTTTCAAGGACCAATGGATAATCGAGGATATTTAAAGAATATTATCAGGATTTCTAAAGAATATTTTCTGAAGGCACGACAGACGAATAACTGTGAATTTTTAAAAAATATTTTTTCAAGGACCAATGGACCGATAATAAAGGATATTTAAAGAATATTTTCAGAAGGACCCAGATATCCATAATCGTTGATTTTTAAGGAATATTTTCTGAAGGCACGACAGACGAATAACCGTGGATTTTTAAAGAGTATTTTTTCTAGAACCAACAGGCTAATAATCATGGATTTTTAAAGAATACTTTTAAGTGTTAGCGGACCAATAATCCTGGATTTTTAAAGAATATTTTGTAAAGGACCAATGCATTGATAATCGTGGATATTTAAAGAATATTTTCTGAAAGATCAATAGACCCATGATCGGGGATTTTTTAAAGAATATTTTTTTAAGGACCAACGGACAAAAATTCCTGAATTTTTTAAAAATATATTCTGAAGGACTAACATGATTTCAATCGGGAATTTTTAAGAATATTTTTGAAGGATCAACAGAGCAAAAAATCGTTGATTTTTAACGAAGGACCAAGAGATATGTTATCGTGGATTTTTTAAAAAATATTTTCTCAAAGTCCGACGGAACAATAATTGTAAACTTTTTAAAGAATATTTTTCAAGAATCAACAGACTGATAATCGTGGATTTGTAAAGTGTACATTTTAAGGACCAACAGACAAATAATCGTGGCCGTTATACTTAAATGTACTATATACTTCAAATGCACGGATTCTGAGGAATCTTAATATGAAAATTTCCAAAAGTGTGGTTTATTTTCGATGCAAACTTTCAAAACGCCCATACCCGTGTCTTTTTTTTATACACTACACGGCATAGTGGTAAGGGTATTATGTCTTTGTGCATTTGTTTGTAACATGAAGAAGGAAGCGAGATAGACCCATAATTACTTTTGAGAATCTTCAAAGAATCACTTTCTGAGTCGATTTATGCACGCCAGACCGTCTGTCCATGTATTTTTGTGAGTAAAATGCAGGCCGATACTTCAGAAAATATTCATAGTGAATTAACTTTTATACCTTCATGGGTCCTTCACGATTAAAACTCCCCTGGCTCTCCACGATATTATTTTACAAAATATTGTTGGTCTTCTCGAAGACATTCTGAAAAACTAAACAGTTATAGATAATGTCCTGTGTTTGCCCTTAAAAAATATAAGAAATATTAACGATTCTGAAAAAATCGGTAGTGGCACTTCAGAAAATATTCTTCAGAAAATATTCTTAAAAATGTTAACCATAGCAAAACTATTGTTCTCCAGTTCTCCAAATATAAGAAATATTAACGATTCTGAAAAAATCGGTAGTGACACTTCAGAAAATATTCTTCAGGAAATATTCTTAAAAATGTTGACAATAGCAAAACTATTGAATATCAATCATCATCAATTCTATTAAGAGCCCGAATGTAAATATATATTTTTCGAAGGACCAAGAGACCCGTAATCAAAGACCAATAATTGTGATTTTTTTTAAAGAATATTTTTTAAGGACCAACCGACCACAAATCGTGGATTTTTTAAAAGGACCAACAATCCTGGATTTTCAAAGAATATTTTTTGAAGGACCAATGAAACGATAACCAATAAATGCTACCAGGACTATAATCGGACATTTTTAAGAATAACAGGGCTAAACGTGGATTTTTAAAGATTATTTTCTGAAGGACTAACAGGACTACAATCGTGATTTTTTAAAGAATATTCTTCTAAAGACCAACGGAACAGTATTGGTCGGTTTTATAAATAATATTTTTTAAGGACCAACAGACCAAGAAAGTCTTAAAGTCGGGCGGTGCTGACTTTGCAGATTAAGTAAGGCTCCACATAACAAATAAAAGTTTTAATGGAGAATTTGTGAAAATTAAATCATACCAACTATGATTATAATTATAATTTTAAGTCCAAAGGAACTAATATATTAATAACCTTCTCTAGATCGATTTCAACTAAATTTGCCGAGGCATTTGTGCCTTTTCAATTCGGGCTTGCATTACCCATTTGGTGCAAAATTAACTTGAGATCGGATAAAGATATATATGTGAGCTATATCCAAATCTGAACGGATCTCGATCAAATTTGGCAAATGGGCCAATAATCGGGGATATTTAAAGAATATTTTCTCAAGGACCAAAGAAGCCATAATCGTGGAATTTTAAAAAATATTTTCTGAAGGACCAATTGACACATAATCGTGGATTTTTAATTAATATTTTCTGAAGGATTTATACAAATATTTTTGAGAGATCAACAGAGCAAAATTCGTTGAATTTTAAAAAGTATTTTCTAAAGGACCAACAGAGCTACAATTGTGGATGTTAAAATAATATTTTTTGAATGACCAACAGACATGTAGCCCTGGAATTTTTAGGATATTTTCTTAAGGACCTACTGGCAAATAACCATAGATTCTTAAAGAATTTTTAACAATTTTTTTTAAAGGATCAACTGACCAATAATACTGGATTTTTGAAGGATATGTTTTTTAAGGACCAATAGACCAATAATCGAGAATTTTTTAAGGATATTTTTTGAATAAAAGAGCTATAATCGTGAAATTTTAAAGAGTATTTTCTGAAGAATATTTTCGTAAGATCCAATAGAGCTATAATCGTGAATTTTTCCAGATAATTTAATTGTGGATATTTTGAAAATATTTTTTAAAAGAGCCAACAATGCATTTTTTAAGAATACTTTCTAAGGGACCAACAGAACTAGTATCTTTGGGTTTTAAACGAATATTTTTTCAAGGACCAACAGAGCGAAAATCATAGATTTTTAATGAATAGTTTCTGAAAGGCTTGCAGGAGTATAAACGTGAATTTGTTTGAGAATACTTGTGAAGGGCCATCAGAGCTGTAAGCGATGATTTTTTCGAGTATTTTTTATTGGACTATAATCGTGCATTTTTAAGAATATTTTCGAAAGAGTCATCAGATATTTTATGGTATATTTTTAAGAATATTTTTCAAAGGATAAAGAGGATCAATCAATACTATGCTCGTGCATTTTTGAAAAAATTATTTACTCCTTCAGAAAATATTATTAAAAGTCATGATATTTGTTCTTTTAGACCTTGGAAAAATATTATAAAATGTCCGGTATTACGGATTCGGAAATAATTTTAAAACACCGCCATTTTCTTTAGAAAATACTTCCAACATTTCGTCGATTTTCAAAGAATAGTTTCTGAGGGCTAACGAAAAAAAAAAAAACTGCAACGAAGTCAAACGCCATAATTTCTACATTTTTCTTAAATTTTATTGAATGAAAGCAAAAAATGTCGGAAATAGCATCAACATTTAGAATAAGTTTCGGAATTGGTTAACTTTGACATGAATTGTGGCCTTCAAACGGCCAATGAAACCGTCACACGATGTCCGAATGTTGCTCTGCGGTATTTTGGCCCATTCTCTGCGACGCGCTTGCTTGAGGTGATCGACACTTTGGTATTTTTTAGTGCCAAGCTTGCTTTTTAAAATACTCCAGACCGGAGATTTTGGTGGCCATTGTGCGCTGAAAATGAAGAGAGGAATCTCATTTTGTAACCATTCTTGGGTGGTGCATGCTGAGTATAATGGTGCTGAGTCCAGTTGGAATATCCAAGCTCTGCGGCCAAAATGTTTGCGTAGCTTTAATACACCCTCCAGAATATTTTCGCGATAATATTCGGCTTTTATTCTGATGCCACGGTCGATTAATACGAGCGGAGAGCGACCATCGGCTGTTATGGCGGCCCACACCATTGCCATGGCCTG